TTGCCCCTTTGTCCCCTCGCTGCTTTTTTTTTTTCGTCGCCCCCCTCCCTCCCCTCTTCTTCCGGCCCCGCTCCGCTCCCCGTTTCCTTCTCTCCCGGGTGGCCGGGCCTCTTTGGCCCCGGGCTCCGGGTTCTCCTCCTGGGGTCCCTCCCCGCCCCCCCCTCCCCCCGCGGGCTCCGTGCTTCGCCCTTCTTTCCCCCCCCCCGGCCCCCTGGGGCTCCGCGGCTCCCCCTCTCTCTCGGGCCCGGTTTCCCGGCTCTGGCTCCCCCCCCCTGGCCTCCCTCCCTTCCCCCCTGCCCCCTTCGCCCTCCCTTCGGGCGTCCTGCGGCCCGTTCTCGCCCCCCCCCTGCCCGGCCTCTCCCTCCGCCTTCCCTCGCCCTGCCCCCCCCCGCTCCCGCCTTCCTCCCCTTCTTCCGTGGTTCCCCCCGCTCTTGGCCCGGCCTCGCTCCCCTCTGTGTTCCCCCTCCCCTCCTCCCTCCCCCTTGCGCTGCCGCCCGCCCCCCTCCCCCCCCCCCCCCCCGCGCGCCTCCTTGTCCCTGCCTGCTCCGCCCCGTCCTTCTTCCCCCCCCTCGCCTCTGCGTCCTCCCGCCCCGCCCCCTTTTCCCCCTTTCGCCCTCTCCCCCCCTTCTGCTTCCTCCCCTCCCCTTCCCCCTTTGCCTCCTCCCTGCTGCCCCTCCCCGCCCCGGCGCCCCCGCGCCCCGCGCCCCTCCCCGCCCTCCCCTCTCCCGCCCTCGCCCTCCTCCCCTCCCTCCGCCGCCCCTCGCCCGCCCTCCCTCCCTCGGGCCCGTCCTCCCCGCTCCCCTGGGGTGCCTCCCCTGCCGCGCTCCCTTTCCCGTCGGTTCGCTCGCCGTTCCCTCTCTCGCCCTCCGGTGCTTGGCGCCGCCCCCTCCCCTTCTTTCCCTCCCCTTTCTCTTCCCCGTCTTTCTTCCCGTGGTGTCCCTTTCTCCCCTCTCTTCGCTCGCCCCCTTCCCGTCCTCCTGTCCGGCCCCCCTTTGCCCGCCTCCCGCCTTCTGCCTCCCTTCTCTTTCCTTCTTTTTTCCCCCTCTTTTGTTCCCCCGTCCTGCGCGTCTCGGCTCCTTCCCCTGCCCCCGCCCGTCTTGGGCCTCCTTGGCTCTCTCGCTCGGCCCCTGTGTGCCCTTCTCACTTCCGCCCTCCCCTGCCTCCCCCTTCCCCCTTTCTCTGCCGTTCTCTCCCCGGGGCCGTGTTCTCCCTTGGTGCGCCCTCCTCCTTCCCCTCCTGTGCTCCCTTCGCCCTTCCTCCTCTCCTGGGCCCCTCTCTCTCTGTTCCTTGGCCCTCCTTTCCTTGCCCCTCTCCCTTTTCCTCCCCGCTTGGTGTCTCCCTCTCCCTGCCTTTCTCCCCTCTTTCTTCCTCTCTCCTCTCCTCCGCTCCTCCTCCTCCTTTTTCTTTCTCTCTCCCTTCCTGCCCTTCCTTTGGCCCGCGCCCCTCTTCTCGCCCCTCTCCCTTCCCTGCCTCTTGCCGTGGCTCTTGCCTTGTCCCCTCTTGCTGTCGCGCTCTCCTGTGCTCGCGTCGCGCCTTCCTGCGCTCCCGTTGCGCCTTCTGTGCTCTTGTCCTCCCGCTCTTTCGCGCCCCTTGCCTTCCCTTGGTCTCTTTGGCCTTCCTCTCCCTTCTTTGGTCCCGTGCTTGCCCTCTTGTTGCCCCTCTTGGTCGCCCCCTCTTGCGCTCGCCTTGCTCCTTGTCCTTGGGCTCCCTGCTCCGCCCTTTTCCGCCTCCTGCGGTCCCCCCCCTCTCCTGCCCCGTGCGGGTTGTGGCGTCGGTGTGTGCCTCTTTGCTCCGTCGCTTGCCTCCTGTTGGCCCCCCCTCCTTGCGTCGCTTGTTGCTGGCTCTGGTTGGTGGGGTTGCGCCGTGTCCCCTTTTCCCCCGTGCTTCCCCCCCCCTGCGCCCCCTTGGGTTTGTGCTGTTTTGCTCTGCCCTTTCTTGCTCCTCTCCTTGCCTCGCGTTGGCCCCTTTGCGCCCGGGCCTTGTTGTTCCCTTCCTCCCTCTTCTCGCTTCCTCTTCCCCTCCTCTCCTCCCTTGCGCCGGCGGGTCCCCGGTGGCCTGGTTCCTTGGCCTGCCTCTCTCTCCCTCCCTCCTCCCCCTCCCCCCTGCCCTTGTCTGGTTCGCCCCCTCCCCTCCCCCCCCTCCCCCTGGCCTCGTCTCCTCGCCTCCGCTTTCCCTCTGTTCCTCCTCGCCCCCCCCTCCCGGCCCCGCGCCCCTTTGCTGCGTCGTCTCTTTGCCCCCCCTCCTTCTCGGCGTCCGCGTTCTCGCTCCCCCGGGCCGTGGTTGTCTCCCGCCCTCGTTCCTCCCTTCTTCCTTCGCGCTCCTCCTCCCCCTTCCTTCGCTGCTTGCTTGGCCTCCCCTCCCTCCCCTCCCCCGCGGTTCCGGCTTTTGCCCCCCCTTCGCGCGCCGTTGCGCTTCCTGGGCTTCCCGTCTTTCCTCCCCTCGTGCCCCTTCTCGTTTGCCCTCTTTCGTTTGGCCTTCCGCTTTGTGTGGGCCTGCCCCGTGGCCTCGCCTTCCTCCCGTCCTCTCTCTTCCTCGTGCCTTTCCCCTCCCCTGGCTTCCCCCCCCCTCCGCTCCCCGCTCCGCCTTCCCTTCTTCCTCCTTCCTCCCTCTCCCGCTTGGCCCCCCTCTCGCCTCCCCTTCCCCTCCTCCGTTCCCCTTTCCCCCGGCCCCCCCTTCGGTGCCCTCGTGTGTGCCCTCCTTTCTGCCCCCCCTCCCCTTGGTGCCCCCCCCCTGGCTCTGCCGCTCGTCCCTCTGGCCCTTCCTTCCCCGCCTCCCCCCCTCTTCTCCCGCTTGCCCCCCCGTCTTCCCCCCCCTCCTCCTCTCTTCCCGCCCTGCGCGCTCCGGCCCCTCGGTTCCTCCCCCTTTTCCCCCCGCCTCTCTCCCGCCTTTCGCCCCGCCTGCCTCCCTTCTCCCTCGCCCCTCTCCCTCCCGCCTTCCCCTCCTCCCCGCGTCCCCGCCTTCCCCCGCCGCTTTTCCCCCTCTCCCTCGTCTTCTTCTTGCTTTCCCCGCCCCCTTGTGGCTCTTGCTTTCTCTCCTTCTTGTCTCCCCGCCTCTCTGCCTTCTCTCGGTCCGGTCCTCCGTCTCTTCGGGTTGCGGCCGGCGGGCTTTTCTCGTGGGTCCCCCGTTGCGCTGCCCTCGGCCTCTTGTCCCCCCTTGGCCTCCCCTTCTCCTTCCTCTCTTTCCCTCCGCCTTGCCGTCTTTCCGCTCTTTGCCTTTGGCCGTTCCTTGCCTTGCCCTTTCCTTGGCGCTTGCCCTTGCCTCGCGCCTTGCTCTTCGGCCCGCCTCTGCGCGTCTTGCCTTTCGCCGCTGCGCCCTTCGCGTCTGTTCTCCGCGCTCGCCGCCTCTTCTCGCCGCGTCGCGCTTTCTCGCTCGCGCCTTCCTGGCCCTTTTCGCCGTGGCCCTTTCGCCGCGTCGCGTCCTCTGGGCCCGCCCTTGTCCCCCTTGCTCCCCCTCCTCCTTGCCCTTCCCTTGCTCCTCTCTTTGCCCTCCCCTGGTTCCCCCCCCTCCCCCCCCCGTCCCCCTTCCCCCCCCGTGTGCCCCCTCCTTCCCTGCTCCTCGCCCGGCCCCTCTGTCTTCCCTCCGCCCCTTCCCGCCCTTCCCTCCTGCGCTGCTTCCCCCTCCCTCTCCTCCCCGCCCCGCTGTGCTCCCCTCCCCCCCTCCCCCTTCCGCTTTGCTTGTCCTCCCGCCCTCCGGCCTCCCTCCCCCGTCCCCCCTCCCCCTTCCTCCTGCTCTCTCTTGCCCCCCTTTCCCCCCCCCCCCCCTTGCTCCCCCCCCCGCTTTCCCGCCTCCCCTTCGTTTGGCCCCTCCCGCCCCTTTCTCCCGCCCCTCCCCCGCCCCCCGCCTTTCCGTCTGTGCGGCTCCCGTGTGCCCCCTCCTCCGTTGCGCTTCTGCCCGCCCCGGCTTCCTGCCTGCGCTCCCTCGGCTTGCCCTTCCTCCTCCCCTCGCTCCCCTCTCCGCCTGCCTGCTCCGCTCCCCTCGGCCTTTCTTTCGCTTGTCCTGGGGCGCTCCGGGTGCTGGCTCCCCCGCCGTGGTCTGGCCCCTTCCTCCCCCGCGCGCCTGTCCCCCTTTCTCTCCCCTTTTCCCCCTTTGGCCGCGCTGCGCTCCTCCTCCTTCCCCGGCGCCCTTTCTTTTCCGCCCTCGCCCCTCTTTGGTCCCGTGGGCTCCCCCCTCCCCCCTTCCCTCTTTTTTTTTTTTTTTTTCTTTCCTTCTTTTCTTTGTCTTTGGCCTTCTTTTGGCTCTCCGCCCGCTCCTTTTCCTCCCCCCTTTCCTGCCCCCCCCTTGCCCCTTTGTCCCCTCGCTGCTTTTTTTTTTTTTTTTTTTTTTCGTCGCCCCCTCCCTCCCCCTCTTCTTCCCGGCCCCGCTCACGCTCCCCGTTTCCTTCTCTCCCGGGTGGCCGGGCCCTCTTTGGCCCCGGGCTCCGGGTTCTCCTCCTGGGGTCCCTCCCCGCCCCCCCCTCCCCCGCGGGGCTCCGTGCTTCGCCCTTCTTTGCCCCCCCCCGGCCCCCTGGGGCCCCGCCGGCTCCCCCTCTCTTCTCGGGCCCGGTTTCCCGGCTCTGGCTCCCCCCCCTGGCCTCCCTCCTTCCCCCCTGCCCCCTTCGCCCTCCCTTCGGGCGTCCTGCGGCCCGTTTCGCCCCCCCCCCTGCCCGGCCTCTCCCCTCCGCCTTCCCTCGCCCTGCCCCCCCCCGCTCCCGCCTTCCTCCCCTTCTTCCGTGGTTCCCCCCGCTCTTGGCCCGGCCTCGCTCCCCTCTGTGTTCCCCTCCCTCCTCCCTCCCCCCTTGCGCTGCCGCCCGCCCCCTCCCCCCCCCCCCCCCCCCGCGCGCCTCCTTGTCCCTGCCTGCTCCGCCCGTCGCTTTCCCCCCCCCTCGCCTCTGCGTCCTCCCCGCCCCCGCCCCCTTTTCCCCCTTCGCCCTCTCCCCCCTTCTGCTTCCTCCCCCCCCCTTCCCCTTTGCCTCCTCCGCTGCCCGCCCCGGCTGCCCCGCCCCGCGCCCCTCCCCGCCCTCCCTACTCCCGCCCTCGCCCTCCTCCCCCTCCCTCGCGCCCTCGCCCGCCCTCCTCCCTCGGGCCCGTCCTCCCGCTCCCCTGGGTGCCTCCCCTGCCGCGCTCCCTTTCCCGTCGTTCGCTCGCCGTTCCCTCTCTCGCCCTCCCGGTGCTTGGCGCCGCCCCCTCCCCTTCTTTCCCTCCCCTTTCTCTTCCCCGTCTTTCTTCCCGTGGTGTCCCTTTCTCCCCTCTCTTCCGCTCGCCCCCTTCCCGTCCTCCTGTCCGGCCCCCCCTTTGCCCGCCTCCCGCCTTCTGCCTCCCTTCTCTTCTCCCTTCTTTTTCCTCCCTCTTTTGTTCCCCCGTCCTGCGCGTCTCGGCTCCTTCCCCTGCCCCCGCCCGTCTTGGCCTCCTTGGCTCTACTCGCTCGGCCCCTGTGTGCCATTCTCCTTCCGCCCTCCCCTGCCTCCCCCTTCCCCCTTTCTCTGCCGTTCTCTCCCGGGCCGTGTTCTCCCTTGGTGCGCCCTCCTCCTTCCCCTCCTGTGCTCTCTTCGCCCTTCCTCCTCTCCTGGGCCCTCTCTCTCTGTTCCTTGCCCTCCTTCCCTTGCCCCTCTCCCCTTTTTCCTCCCCGCTTGGTGTCTCCTCTCCCTGCCTTTCTCCCTCTTTCTTCCTCTCCTCCCTCCGCTCCTCCTCCTCCTTTTTCTTTCCTCTCCCCTTCCTGCCCTTCCTTTGGCCGCGCCCCTCTTCTCGCCCCTCTCCCTTCCTGCCTCTTGCCGTGGCTCTTGCCTTGTCCCTCTTGTTGTCGCGCTCTCCTGTGCTCGCGTCGCGCCTTCCTGCGCTCCCGTTGCGCCTTCCTGTGCTCTTGTCCCTCCCGCTCTTTCGCGCCCCCTTGCCTTGCCTTGGTCTCTTTGGCCTTCCTCTCCCTTCTTTGGTCCCGTGCTTGCCCTCTTGTTGCCCCTCTTGTCCGGCCCTCTTGCGCTCGCCCTTGCTCCTTGTCCTTGGGCTCCCTGCTCCGCCCTTTTCCGCCTCCTGCGGTCCCCCCCTCTCCTGCCCCCTGCGGGTTGTGGCGTCGGTGGTGTGCCTCTTTGCTCCGTCGCTTGCCTCCTGTTGGCCCCCCCTCCTTGCGTCGCTTGTTGCGGGCTCTGGTTGGTGGGGTTGCGCCTGTCCCCTTTTCCCCCCGTGCTTCCCCCCCCCCTGCGCCCCCTTGGGTTGTGCTGTTTGCTCTGCCCTTTCTTGCTCCTCTCCTTGCCTCGCGTTGGCCCCTTTGCGCCCGGCCTTGTTGTTCCCTTCCTCCCTCTTCTCGCTTCCTCTTCCCCCTCCTCTCCTCCCCTTGCGCCGGCGGGTCCCCGGTGGCCTGGTTCCTTGGCTGCCTCTCTCTCCCTCCCCTTCCTCCCCCTCCCCCCCTGCCCTTGTTCTGGGTTCGCCCCCCCTCCCCTCCCTCCCCCCTCCCACCCCTTGCCCTCGTCTCCTTTCGCCTCACGCTTTCCCTCCTGTTCCTCCTCGCCCGCCCCTCCCCGGCCCCGGCGCCCCTTTGCTGCGTCGTCTCTTTGCCCCCCCTCCTTCTCGGCGTCCGCGTTCTCGCTCCCCGGGCCGTGGTTGTCTCCCGCCCTCGTTCCTCCCTTTTCCTTCGCGCTCCTCCTCCCCCTTCCTTCGCTGCTTGCTTGGCCTCCCTCCCTCCCTCCCCCGCGGTTCGGCTTTTGCCCCCCTTCGCGCGCCGTTGCGCTTCCTGGGCTTCCCGTCTTTCCTCCCCTCGTGCCCCTTCTCCGTTTGCCCTCTTTCGTTTGGCCTTCCGCTTTGTGTGGGCCTGCCCCGTGGCCTCGCCTTCCTCCCGTCCTCTCTCTTCCTCGTGCCTTTCCCCTCCCCGTGGCTTCCCCCCCCCTCCGCTCCCGCTCCGCCTTCCCTTCTTCCTCCTTCTCCCCTCTCCCGCTTGGCCCCCTCTCGCCTCCCCTTCCCCTCCTCCGTTCCCCTTTCCCCCGGCCCCCCCTTCGGTGCCCTCGTGTGTGCCCTCCTTTCTGCCCCCCCTCCCCTTGGTGCCCCCCCCCTGGCTCTGCCGCTCGTCCCTCTGGCCCTTCCTTCCCCGCCTCCCCCCTCTTCTCCCGCTTGCCCCCCCCGTCTTCCCCCCCCTCCTCCTCTCTTCCCGCCCCTGCGCGCTCCGGCCCCTCGGTTCCTCCCCCTTTTCCCCCCGCCTCTCTCCCGCCTTTCGCCCCGCCTGCCTCCCTTCTCCCTCGCCCTCTCCCTCCCGCCTTCCCCCTCCTCCCCCGCGTCCCCGCCTTCCCCCGCCGCTTTTCCCCCCTCTCCCTCGTCTTCTTCTTGCTTTCCCCGCCCCCTTGTGGCTCTTGCTTTCTCTCCTTCTTGTCTCCCCGCCTCTCTGCCTTCTCTCGGTCCGGTCTCGTCTCTTCGGGTTGCGGCCGGCGGCTTTTCTCGTGGGTCCCCGTTGCGCTGCCCTCGGCCTCTTGTCCCCCCTTGGCCTCCCTTCTCCTTCCTCTCTTTCCCTCCCGCCCTTGTCGTCTTTCCTGCTCTTTCGCCTTTGGCCGCTTCCTTGCCTTGCTCCCTTTTCCTCTGGCGCTCTGCCGCCTTGCCCTCCGCGCCCTTGCTCTTCGGCCCCGCGCTCTCGCGCTTGTCTTGCCTTTTGCCCCGCTGCGCCCCTTTCGCGTCCTGTTTTTCTCCCGCCCCTCGGCGTCCTCTTTCTCTCGCCGCCCGCCGCCTCTTCCCCGCGTCGCGCCTTTCCTCGGTGCGCGCCTTCGTTCGCCTTCCTTGCCCCTTTCGCCGCGTCGCGCCCTTGGCTCGCCGCGTCGCGTCCCCTGGGCCCCCGCCCTCCTCCCCCTTGCTCCCCCCTCCTCCTTGCCCTTCCCCTTGCTCCTCTCTTTGCCCTCCCCTGGTTCCCCCCCTCCCCCCCCCGTCCCCTCTTCCCCCCCGTGTGCCCCCTCCTTCCCTGCTCCTCGCCCGGCCCCCTGTCTTCCTCCGCCCCCTTCCGCGCTTCCTTCCTGTGCTGCTTCCCCTCCCTCTCCCCCCGCCCCGCTGTGCTCCCCTCCCCCCTCCCCTTCGCTTTTGCTTGTCCTCCCCCCCTCCGGCCTCCCCTCCCCGTCCCCTCCCCCTTCCTCCTGCTCTCTCTTGCCCCCCTTTCCCCCCCCCCTTGCTCCCCCCCCCGCTTCCCGCCTCCCCTTCGTTTGGCCCCTCCGCGCCCCCTTTCCCCGCCCCTCCCCCGCCCCCGCCTTTCCCGCCTGTGCGGCTCCCTGTGCCCCCCTCCTCCGTTGCGCTTCTGCCCGCTCCGGTTCCTGCCTGCGCTCCCTTCGGCTTGCCTTTCCTCCTCCCCTCGCTCCCCTCTCCGCCTGCCTGCTCCGCTCCCCTCGGCCTTTCTTTCGGCTTGTCCTGGGGCTCCGGGTGCTGGCTCCCCCGCCGTGGTCTGGCCCCCTTCCTCCCCCGCGCGCCTGTCCCCCTTTCTCTCCCTTTTCCCCCTTTGGCCGCGCTGCGCTCCTCCTCCTTCCCCGGCGCCCCTTTCTTTTCCGCCCTTCGCCCCTCTTTGGTCCGTGGGGCTCCCCCCTCCCCCCTTTCCCTCTTTTTTTTTCTCCTTCTTTTCTTTGTCTTTGGCCTTCTTTTGGCTCTCGCCCGCTCCTTTTCCTCCCCCCTTTCCTGCCCTCCCCCTTGCCCCTTTGTCCCCTCGCTGCTTTTTTTTTTTTTTCGCCCCCCTCCCTCCCCCTCTTCTTCCGGCCCCGCTCCCGCTCCCCGTTTCCTTCTCTCCCGGGTGGCCGGGCCCTCTTTGGCTCCGGGGCTCCGGGTTCTCCTCCTGGGGTCCTCCCCGCCCCCCCTCCCCCGCGGGCTCCGTGCTTCGCCCTTCTTTCCCCCCCCCCCCGGCCCCTGGGGCTCCGCCGGCTCCCCCTCTCTCGGGCCCGGCTTTCCCGGCTCTGGCTCCCCCCCCCTGGCCTCCCTCCTTCCCCCCCTGCCCCTTCGCCTCCCTTCGGGCGTCCTGCGGCCCGTTCTCGCCCCCCCCCCTGCCCGGCCTCTCCCCTCCGCCTTCCCTCGCCCTGGCCCCCCCCCTCCGCCTTCCTCCCCTTCTTCCGTGGTTCCCCCCGCTCTTGGCCCGGGCCTCGCTCCCCTCTGTGTTCCCCTCCCCTCCTCCCTCCCCCCTTGCGCTGCGCCTCGCCCCCCTCCCCCCCCCCCCCCCCCCGCGCGCGTCCTTGTCCCTGCCTGCTCCGCCCCGTCCCTTCTTCCCCCCCCTCGCCTCTGCGTCCTCCCCCCCCCCCCTTTTCCCCCTTTCGCCCTCTCCCCCCTTCCTGCTTCCTCCCCCTCCCCTTCCCCTTTGCCTCCTCCCTGCTGCCCCTCCCCGCCCCGGCGCCCCCGCGCCCGCGCCCCCTCCCCGCCCTCCCTCCCCCGCCTCGCCCTCCTCCCCCTCCCTCCGCCGCCCCTCGCCCGCCCTCCCTCCCTCGGGCCCGTCCTCCCCGCTCCCCTGGGGTGCCTCCCTGCCGCGCTCCTTTCCCGTCGTTCGCTCGCCGTTCCCTCTCTCTCGCCCTCCCGTGCTTGGCGCCGCCCCTCCCCTTCTTTCCCTCCCCTTTCTCTTCCCCGTCTTTCTTCCCGTGGTGTCCCTTTCTCCCCTCTCTTCCAGCTCGCCCCCTTCCCCGTCCTCCTGTCCGGCCCCCCTTTGCCCGCCTCCCGCCTTCTGGCCTCCCTTTCTCTTTCCTTCTTTTTCCCCCCTCTTTTGTTTCCCCCGTCCTGCGCGTCTGCGGCTCCTTCCCTGCCCCCGCCCGTCTTGGGCCTCCTTGCTCTCTCGCTCGGCCCCTGTGTGCCCTTATCCTTCCGCCCTCCCCTGCCTCCGCCCTTCCCCCTTTCTCTGCCGTTCTCTCCCCGGGCCGTGTTCTCCCTTGGTGCGCCCTCCCTCCTTCCCTCCTGTGCTCCCTTCCGCCTTCCTCCTCTCCTGGGCCCCTCTCTCTCTGTTCCTTGGGCCCTCCTTCCTTGCCCCTCTCCCTTTTCCCTCCCCGCTTGGTGTCTCCCTCTCCCTGCCTTTCTCCCTCTTTCTTCCTCTCCCTCTCTCCGCTCCTCCTCCTCCTTTTTCTTTCTCTCCCCTTCCTGCCCTTCCTTTGGCCCGCGCCCCTCTTCTCGCCCCTCTCCCTTCCCTGCCTCTTGCCGTGCTCTTGCCTTGTCCCCTCTTGCTGTCGCGCCCTCCTGTGCTCGCGTCGCGCCTTCCTGGCGCTCCCGTTGCGCCTTCCTGTGCTCTTGTCCCTCCCGCTCTTTCGCGCCCCTTGCCTTCCCTTGGTCTCTTTGGCCTTCCTCTCCCTTCTTTGGTCCCGTGCTTGCCCCTCTTGTTGCCCCTCTTGGTCCGTGCCCCTCTTGCGGCTCGCCCTTGCTCCTTGTCCTTGGGCTCCCTGCTCCGCCCTTTTCCGCCTCCTGCGCTCCCCCCCCTCTCCTGCCCCGTGCGGGTTGTGGCGTCGGTGGTGTGCCTCTTTGCTCCGTCGCTTGCCTCCATGTTGGCCCCCCCTCCTTGCGTCGCTTGTTGCTGGGCTCTGGTTGGTGGGGTTGCGCCTGTCCCCCTTTTCCCCCCCGTGCTTCCCCCCCCCCCTGCGCCCCCTTGGGGTTGTGCTGTTTGCTCTGCCCTTTCTTGCTCCTCTCCTTGCCTCGCGTTGGCCCCCTTTGCGCCCGGGCCTTGTTGTTCCCTTCCTCCCTCTTCTCGCTTCCTCTTCCCCCTCCTCTCCTCCCCTTGCGCCGGCGGGTCCCCCGGTGGCCTGGTTCCTTGGCCTGCCTCTCTCTCCCTCCCTCCCTCCCCCTCCCCCCTGCCCTTGTTCTGGGTTCGCCCCCTCCCTCCCCTCCCCTCCCCCCTCCCTGGCCTCGTCTCCTCGCCTCCCGCTTTCCCTCCTGTTCCTCCTCGCCCCCCCCTCCCCGGCCCCGGCGCCCCTTTGCTGCGTCGTCTCTTTGCCCCCCCTCCTTCTCGCGTCCGCGTTCTCGCTCCCCCGGGCCGTGGTTGTCTCCCGCCCTCGTTCCTCCCTTCTTCCTTCGCGCTCCTCCTCCCCCTTCCTTCGCTGCTTGCTTGGCCTCCCTCCCTCCCTCCCCCGCGGTTCCGGCTTTTGCCCCCCCTTCGCGCGCCGTTGCGCTTCCTGGCATTCCCGTCTTTCCTCCCCTTCGTGCCCCTTCTCGTTTGCCCTCTTTCGTTTGGCCTTCCGCTTTGTGTGGGCCTGCCCCGTGGCCTCGCCTTCCTCCCGTCCTCTCTCTTCCTCGTGCCTTTCCCCTCCCCTGGCTTCCCCCCCCCCTCCGCTCCCGCTCCGCCTTCCCTTCTTCCTCCTTCCTCCCCTCTCCGCTGCCCCCCTCTCGCCTCCCCTTCCCCTCCTCCGTTCCCCTTTCCCCGGTCCCCCCCTTCGGTGCCCTCGTGTGTGCCCTCCTTTCTGCCCCCCCTCCCCCTTGCGTGCCCCCCCCCTGGCTCTGCCGCTCGTCCTCTGGCCCTTCCTTCCCCGCCTCCCCCCCTCTTCTCCCGCTTGCCCCCCCGTCTTCCCCCCCCCTCCTCCTCTCTTCCCGCCCTGCGCGCTCCGGCCCCTCGGTTCCTCCCCCTTTTCCCCCCGCCTCTCTCCCGCCTTTCGCCCGCCTGCCTCCCTTCTCCCTCGCCCCTCTCCACTCCGCCTTCCCCCTCCTCCCACGCGTCCCCGCCTTCCCCCGCCGCTTTTCCCCCCTCTCCCTCGTCTTCTTCTTGCTTTCCCCGCCCCCTTGTGGCTCTTGCTTTCTCTCCTTCTTGTCTCCCCGCCTCTCTGCCCTTCTCTCGGTCTGTCCTCCTTCGGGTTGCGGCCGGCGGGCTTTTCTCGTGGGTCCCCCGTTGCGCTGCCCTCGGCCTCTTGTCCCCCTTGGCCTCCCCTTCTCCTTCCTCTCTTTCCTCCCGCCCTTGTCGTCTTTCCTGCTCTTTCGCCTTTGGCCGCTTCCTTGCCTTGCTCCCTTTTCCTCTGGCGCTCTGCGCCTTGCCCTCCGCGCCCTTGCTCTTCGGCCCCGCGCTCTCGCGCTTGTCTTGCCTTTTGCCCCGCTGCGCCCCTTTCGCGTCTGTTTTTCTCCGCGCCCTTTCGGCGTCTGCTCCCCGCCCCCGCCGCCTCTTCGCCGCGTCGCGCCTTTTTCCGCCGCGTCGCGCCTTCCTGTGCGCGGCTCCTGGCGCCCGTCGCGTCCCTGGGCCCCGCCCTCCTCCCCCTTGCCCCCCCTCCTCCTTGCCCTCCCTTGCTCCTCTCTTTGCCCTCCCCTGGTTCCCCCCCTCCCCCCGTCCCCCTTCCCCCCCGTGCGCCCCCTCCTTCCCTGCTCCTCGCCCGGCCCCCTGTCTTCCCTCCGCCCCCTTCCCGCGCTTCCTCCTGTGCTGCTTCCCCCTCCTCCCCCCGCCCGCTGTGCTCCCCTCCCCCCTCCCCCTTCCGCTTTTGCTTGTCCTCCGCCCCCCCGGCCTCCCCTCCCCGTCCCCCCTCCCCTTCCTCCTGCTCTCTCTTGCCCCCCTTTCCCCCCCCCCCCCCCTTGCTCCCCCCCGCTTCCGCCTCCCTTCGTTTGGCCCCTCCGCGCCCCCTTTCCCCGCCCTCCCCCGCCCCCCGCCTTTCCCGCCTGTGCGGCTCCCGTGTGCCCCTCCTCCGTTGCGCTTCTGCCCGCCCGGTTCCTGCCTGCGCTCCCTCGGCTTGCCTTTCCTCCTCCCCTCGCTCCCCTCTCCGCCTGCCTGCTCCGCTCCCCTCGGCCTTTCTTTCGCTTGTCCTGGGGCTCCGGGTGCTGGCTCCCCCGCCGTGGTCTGGCCCCTTCCTCCCCCGCGCGCCTGTCCCCCTTTCTCTCCCCTTCCCCTTTGGCCGCGCTGCGCTCCTCCTCCTTCCCCGGCGCCCTTTCTTTTCCGCCCTTCGCCCCTCTTTGGTCCCGTGGGGCTCCCCCTCCCCCTTCCCTTTTCTTTTTTTTTTTTTTCTCCTTCTTTTCTTTGTCTTTGGCCTTCTTTTGGCTCTCGCCCGCTCCTTTCCTCCCCCTTTCCTGCCCTCCCCCCTTGCCCTTTGTCCCCTCGCTGCTTTTTTTTTTTCGTCGCCCCCCTCCCTCCCCCTCTTCTTCCGGCCCCGCTCCCGCTCCCCGTTTCCTTCTCTCCCGGGTGGCCGGGCCCTCTTTGGCCCCGGGCTCCGGGTTCTCCTCCTGGGGTCCCTCCCCGCCCCCCCTCCCCCCGCGGGCTCCGTGCTTCGCCCTTCTTTGCCCCCCCCGGCCCCCTGGGGCTCCGCCGGCTCCCCTCTCTCTCTCGGGCCCGGTTTCCCGGCTCTGGCTCCCCCCCCTGGCCTCCCCCCTTCCCCCCTGCCCCCCTTCGCCCTCCCTTCGGGCGTCCTGCGGCCCGTTCTCGCCCCCCCCCCTGCCCGCCCTCTCCCTCCGCCTTCCCTCGCCTGCCCCCCCCGCTCCCGCCTTCCTCCCCTTCTTCCGTGGTTCCCCCCGCTCTTGGCCCGGCCCTCGCTCCCTCTGTGTTCCCCCTCCCTCCTCCCTCCCCCTTGCGCTGCCGCCCGCCCCCTCCCCCCCCCCCGCGCGCCTCCTTGTCCTGCCTGCTCCGCCCCGTCCTTCTTCCCCCCCCTCGCCTCTGCGTCCTCCCCGCCCCGCCCCCTTTTTCCCCCTTTCGCCCTCTCCCCCCTTCCTGCTTCCTCCCCTCCCCCTTCCCCTTTGCCTCCTCCCTCCTGCCCTCCCGCCCCGGCGCCCCCGCGCCCCGCGCCCCTCGCCGCCCTCCCCTCCTCCCGCCCTCGCCCCTCCTCCCCTCCCTCCCGCCCCTCGCCCGCCTCCCTCCTCGGGCCCCTCCCGCTCCCTGGGTGCCTCCCCTGCCGCGCTCCCTTTCCCGTCGTTCGCTCGCCGTTCCCTCTCTCGCCCTCCGGTGCTTGGCGCCGCCCCCTCCCTTCTTTCCCTCCCCTTTCTCTTCCCCGTCTTTCTTCCCGTGGTGTCCCTTTCTCCCCTCTCTTCCGCTCGCCCCCTTCCCGTCCTCCTGTCCGGCCCCCCTTTGCCCGCCTCCCGCCTTCTGCCTCCCTTCTCTTTCCTTCTTTTTCCCCCTCTTTTGTTCCCCCGTCCTGCGCGTCTCGGCTCCTTCCCCTGCCCCCGCCCGTCTTGGGCCTCCTTGGCTCTCTCGCTCGGCCCCTGTGTGCCCTTCTCCTTCCGCCCTCCCCTGCCTCCCCCTTCCCCCTTTCTCTGCCGTTCTCTCCCCGGGCCGTGTTCTCCCTTGGTGCGCCCTCCTCCTTCCCCTCCTGTGCTCCCTTCGCCCTTCCTCCTCTCCTGGGCCCCTCTCTCTCTGTTCCTTGCCCTCCTTCCCTTGCCCCCTCTCCCTTTCCTCCCCGCTTGGTGTCTCCCTCTCCCTGCCTTTCTCCCCTCTTTCTTCTCTCCCTCTCTCCGCTCCTCCTCCTCCTTTTTCTTTCTCTCCCCTTCCTGCCCTTCCTTTGGCCCGCGCCCCTCTTCTCGCCCCTCTCCCTTCCCTGCCTCTTGCCGTGGCTCTTGCCTTGTCCCCTCTTGCTGTCGCGCCCTCCTGTGCTCGCGTCGCGCCTTCCTGCGCTCCCGTTGCGCCTTCCTGTGCTCTTGTCCCTCCCGCTCTTTCGCGCCCCCTTGCCTT